CACCATCTCTGCTGTCTGGTGTGGGATGGGAAAAGCCTCGAGCCATATGGTAAAATAGTCGGCGACCACCATGAATGCCGAGTTCCCTGACCTCGTTCTCGGCAGCCTTCTATGAGATCTATGGCGATGCGCTCCATGGGTGTGCCGGAGACATACCTCTGCAGGTGGGCCCTCCCTAGACGCAGCGGGGGCTTCCGGGACCCACATAAGTGGCACTTCTTGCACCGCTCCTTGGCTGCCCGCCGCATTCCTCTCCAAAAGACGGGAGCCTGTCGCAGCTTGGCGATGGTCCGGGTGATCCCCAGGTGCCCGGCAGTACGTTGGTCGTAGGCCAGCCGCAGGAACTCTTGCATCCTGGTCCGCGGAACGGCAACCTTCCAGGTCGGGGGGCCGCCGGGTGGTCGCTCCAACCTCATTTTGAGGATGCCCTGTTGTACCCGCAGCGTCTCCCACCTGGCCCACCATGACTTCGCACCGGCACCGAGGGCCGAGACTTCCTTCCACTTGGGCCTGTGTGACCCTTGTTCCAGCCACTTCCAAATGTGGGCCAGCTCCGGGTCTTGACGTTGTTCTTCCTGAAGGTGGTCGGGGCTCCAAACCTGTGGGAGCTCGTCCAAGTCTGATGTGTCCTCTTGGTCCACGCTCTGAATGGCACCAACTTTGGGTGCCAGCTCGGCTGCGGGGGATAGTGTCCCTGCCGTGAAGCACTCGTGCCCAGCCTCTTTCGAAAGTCCACATTGCCCGCTTGGGACTCGGGAGACCGCATCAGCATTGAAGGGCTTGCGCCCTGCTTGGTGCTCGATATCAAAATCGAAACACCCTAGTCTCTGCAACCAATGGGGCTGTCTGCCCTTCTGGCTCCCGAAAATTGAACAACCATCTCAGCGACCCGTGGTCTGTCCTAAGCAGAAACCGCTGCCCAAGCAGTGATGAAGTACTGCACAAAGTGGACCACAGCCAGCAGCTCTTTCCGGTTAGTGCAATAATTGCATTCAGACATTGTTAGTACGCGGCTGCCGTAGGCAACCACCTGCTCTTCCCGGCCGCCATCCTGGGACAGGACTGCCCCTATCCTGGGACAGGACTGCCCCTATGGTGCAGTTGCTGGCGTCGGTATCCAGGATGTACCAGTACTTGGGATGTGGGTACCTCAGCACCGGGGCTGTCGCCAAAGCGTCCTGAAGCTGTTCGAAGGCCTCCTGGCAGGAATCTGTCCAGGTGAAGTCCTTCTGACAGTTGTTGGTGAGACCATGCAATGGGTGGGTGATCTTCGCAAAGTGGGCTATGCTGCGGCGATAGTAGGATGCGAGGCCCAGGAAGCTCCAGACCTGCGTCACATTCGTGGGTGTCGGCCAACTCCTAATGACGGTGACCTTGTCGGGGTTGGTTCTCACCCCCCTCAGCAGACACTAGGTGACCCAAAAAGGACACCCCTGTCCGGAAGAGGTTGCACTTCTTAGGCTTGAGCCTCGGCCCCGTGCTCTGGAACCGCTCCAACACCGTAGCCAACCTCTGGTAGTGCTCCTCGAACGTACGCCCCCAGACAATGACGTCATCCAAGTACACTACTGCCACCTGCCACTGCAGCCCCCTCAACACCCATTCCAGGGCGTTGCAGAGCCCAAATGGCATCGTCGTAAACGGGTACAGGCCGCTCTGGGTCCCAAACGCTATTTTCTCTCAGTCCCCTATGCCATACCGCAGGTCTTTAGCGCGGGCACAACTTTTGGGAGGCTGGCACGGGTTGCGCCCACTATCCCTGGCTTGAAGTCGGCCTCACAGGTTTGTGTACTGTACCCCTGCTCGGGATTGGCCTCATAGACTGTGTGCGGTGGCCCCACTCGGGTTCACCCCCATAGACTCGTGTGCAATTCCCCCATGCGGGTTCACCCCCATAGACTCGTGTGCAGTGCTATCACTCGGGTTCAACCTCACAGAATCATGTGCGGTGCTCCGGTTCAGGGTCGGCCCCACAGACTCGTGTGTGGTGCTCTTGTTCGGCATCACCGCTATAGACGCGTGTGCGATGCCCTTGTTCGGGTTCACCCCATAGACTCGTGTGCAGTACCCCCATTCCTGTTCACCCCATAGACTCATGTGCGGTGCCTCTGCTCGGGTTTATCCCCATAGACTCGTGTGCAGTGCTGCCTCTCAGGTTCAACCTCACAGAGTCATGTGCGGCGCCTCGGTTCGGGGTCGGCCCCACAAACTCGTGTGCGGTGCCCTTGATCGGGATCACTGTCACAGACTCGTGTGCGGTGCCACTCACTTGCGCCGGCAGCTCCACCACGGCTGTGTTCCGTACAGACCAACCCCCGTCTCGTCGCCATTGCTAAAGGGCGCTTGGGCACCTCCCCCGGTGTAATATACCTCAACTGAATGCCGCTGGGCGCCCCCTCGCCGGCACTGGATGAGCGTTGGTGATATTCCAAAAGGACCACCACTCCCCGTACACTCCCGCCACCAGAGGGCGCCCCCATTGTTCGCTCTAATCTCAACTGGCCCTTGCCACAGTGTAGTCAGTCTGGATGCCTGGTTTGGTGAGTGAACAGTGTTGTGTGGACTGCTCTTTTTGTGTGCGCAACTGCTGCGAGTCTGCGAGCAGGTACTGGTTACGCAATCTGAGCAGTTGGTCACCTAAACTAAGTAACTGTAACGTATTCGCAGTAGTTGACTTAATGTGTACTGTTAAATAGTATCAGTTAGAAAGGATCATGGATAGAACAATACTGTGTAGGTAGAGTTGTGGGTAGGGTAGTCGATGATTGTCCGTCACCGTCGAGGTAGGCGGTGAAAGACTGGACAGCCAGAGTGTTAGCAGATGCCCTGAGTTACCCATTCGTTAGTTTGGGTTAATTAATTAGCACCTGGGTGCAGTCACCTGAGTGAGGAGTAAGGATTGTGGCGTGCGGATTGCGGATACAGGTAATAGGTTGCAGAGTGCGGATTATTGGTGGCACTTTAGGGAGTGCGGATTATGTAAGTGTTCTTTTGTATAATATTTTGTGTTATTCTTTTGTAGCTTTTGTATAAAATAAGTAAATTTCAGTTAGCTAAAGAAAAGTATATTAAACAAGTTAAGTCGATCTTGCCAGTAATACCTTGTGTATGCACATTGTTGTGTCAGTCGACTGGGTCACCATATCAATTACCAATCGGTGGTATATTTCCGTCAAAACGACTCCTAGCCCCTGGAACTTAGATTGCTTGTCAAATTCAAGGGCCAAGGCAGATACATGTAGTTTCAGTTTGGGTCAGGTGACTTTCCTCAGAGTTGGAAATAGTTTGCCCAGACATGGCCAGACCTAGGCTGGCTTGTGGGAATAAAATGCCACACTACCTTAGTTTTTTCGTTTTCAACAGAAAAACAATTAAAAACTGAGATTGTCATCTTATTCCTCGTATTTTGTTTCAAATCGAAAACGAATGAACGAAACATGCATGGACCCATGGCCCCTTCCAGCGGAGCTGTAATCAAAGTTCGGTGCCTGGCATTCCTTCAGACCTCCTGTGAAACCTTACAATCAGATACCTTTCTGTTGACGGACACTTTGAGACATTCACTCGCCCGTATTTTGGCATTTACATGTACAACATGACATTGATAGAGAAATGAAAATTATGTGTTGAACTAAAAGATTCAGAGTTATTCCTGTGTACATTGAGGTCGATGATGTTTTTATTTCACGCATACATGTACTGGTACATGTATGTTTGATGTGATAGCCTACATGTAAGTCAGTCTGCAGAAGCACTCAATCTTTGCACAATCTGTTGATCTTATTGTACAGTTTGCCAAACAATTCCGCCATTAGCCAATCACCTATTTTTCCAATTGTGGATATCGGAAATAGTTTTGAAAAAGGGAATACAGTTTGAGATTTTACATCCAATCGACTAATAATGCATAGCAGTTGATGGCAGAAACATGTCTACGCATTTTAAATTATGCATATATTATGTAGTTTGAATGGTCTCTCCATGCACTGTGCAGTGTATGATACGTTTATGAAAAAACTGAAGTGTTGCAATTCACTGACAACCAACAGCGACTGGTGCAGTATTGCATTACTAGTGCGCATAATTGTACAAAATTCTCATTACATGTACATTCAGTTAAGCTTTTTCTTAGCAAAAGTATGCTGATCGTCTTGGAGCCAAGCCCTTGCATTCTGTATTGGCCACTGATGTCATCAGGGGCAGTGAAGAACCCTTTTGAATTGATGCTAGCACCATTGTCATAATGGAATATGATCAACAACCTGGCAGGAGTGTTTCTGAAAGTTTCTAAGTCTGCTATACAAAATGTGTTTAAAACAACTGTGTCTTTTTCAATAAACATTGGAAGTTTTTTGAGGGAGGAGGCATGGAGTCATTCCCTTTCAAGATTACGTCATCCTTGTTAGAGCCATTGTTGAGACTCTTTGCCAGGGTTATAATGTGAAGGGTGTCAAAAAACCAAGCTAATGTTAAAAAAACCAAAATGTACATGTACTGTACATGTGTGCTCTTATTCAGGTTTTTGAAGAGCACTGAAGTTGATGCAGTGGGTACTTGTTGGAGTGAAACTTCTAACTGGAGTTTATCTCTAGAGAAAACAAGAAGACAAAATTCAGTTATTTTTTCAGAGCAATCTTTACATCAACAGCAGCTGATATGGTGCCATGTTTATGTGCACGATCATGAGCAACACATCTCTTCCATTAATGGTAGCACACTTTTTCTTCATCTGGGTTTCAAGGGCTACATGTACATATATGTACATACATGTATTATGTATGTGCCTTACGAGAATGGGCCCATGTAGAAAAAGAAGACACTGCCTTGAGTACCGATATGTGCACAATCACGAGCGACATGTCCCTTCCATTAATGAAGCTCATGCACCATGTGGTTGGTGCTCTCTTTCTTCATTTGGCTCTCAAGGGTTATGGACTGGCCTGGGCCCATGTGGAAAAAGATTGTGACTAAATTCCCCACTTTCTGATGTGTGTTGACAGAAACTATGCCCAAAATGTACTGATCCAGCAACCACCGTTGAGGGACAAAAGCAAGCTGGACCAACACTAGAAGAAATTGAGCAGAAATTAAGTGGTGCAGTAAGTTTAGGTATGTTATCAGCCGTGCAGGTTTGAATGAGTAACTCTAGCTCTAATACTTATGAAATATAGAAACTGGGAATTTCCAGAGCTACATGTACATGTATGAACATTAGTTAGGGCTGTTGTTACCCAAGCTAGCCAGTCACCACTCATGTCAGCAGTCCTGACTATCTGAGACTCATGTTGTACTGTATAACATGTACATTTACATATCAGTGTAAGGCTGTATTTTTCATGTCAAAATTGTTCTGAATTTCATATTTTCAAATTTCAAATGAAATTGTGAAATGCAGTGTGATTTTTTAAAATTTCACACTGCATTAGTCCCTTTTTTAACTGGCATGCTTTGATGTTCATCCAGATTTTAGACACAAAAATTATTTCAACTGATAAAATAAAATTAGGAAAACATAACATTGCATTTTTTTATTTATGAAATACTCTCTCTTTGGCATAATTAATAGCCATTTCACCTTCAGGTGCATGTATTTGGTATAAGGCCCCCCCAAAAGACTCTGGTTTCTGGTCAGGAGCTTGGTCCAAAAGTGGTGCGATGATGCAGTGTTCCCCCCCCTTTTTCCCTTAGAAGTGATGTGCATGCATGTACATATATACTTCAGAGTGCATGGCCTTGTTATTATTCGAAGTGTGAATCAACAACTTAGAGGCAATGGTTTCAGTCATCTCACTTAACCAAGAGGCTTCTATTCTTGGCAAGATTGAGCTCGTTAAAATACAGTAGCACAACCACAAAAAAAAAGCAAATGTGAAATATAAATGTTCAGCTCCAGTTTCCGGTTTTAAATGAAATTCTCATGAGACAGCGGTATGACATTTTTTGCACATAGTTTTCTCCTTTAGCTTAGAGGAAACAAGTTCCATGTCAAATATGAAAATGAAAACAGCGGCAGTTCAGCTCCAGAGTCAAAATGAAAATAAAATGCTGATGAGGTAAGTAATATACTGTGCACATTGTTGTCTGTTTTAGCTCATAAAAAACAAGTCACATATAAAATATTGGGGAAAAAAATCCGCTCAGAAAATAAAATGTCCTCTCACTCTAATCTACCTTTGTTCTTGGCAAGTGACGATGCATTATATCGTTGCATGTATGGTTGTCATAACGTGATGTCCAAGGAGGCCAAGACCTCATTTTTGTCCCAATTGTACTACCTGTTATTGAAACTTTGGATGTATAGTGTACATGTACGATTTATGTACGGTATACCATCTCGTGGATCATCTATAACCTCTTCGGCTTTCTGGTGCATTGGTTTCTTGATGCCATCCCTACCAGTGATCACCATGCTGAGATCTGTCTGCAGAATCCTAAGTGGCCTCCCCTGCTTCCTATCCTGAGTCAGGACAATCAGGCTGTAGAAGCATTGAGATTAGTTCTTAGTCCTCAACCCTCTAAGGCATGAGGTTGCTGTGATGTTTGCCTCTTTGATCTCCACAAGGAATTGTTAAGTGTGTGTCTGTGGTGTTTAAGGTGGTCCCCATGCACCACTTTGGACTTATGGCATGGTTCTTGTCGGATCCTGACATTGACATCTCTTGTCAGTTCTGTTACCCAGTGCAGTATGGCCCTTCCCACCTTTGCTGGAGTTTGAGACCCAGCCTGACATTTCTTTATTCTGTGGTCAGCATCAGCATTTCCCAGGTTAAGAGCACCCCAGTTCACCTGATACTTACATGTACTTGTAGTAGCTCTAGTGTTTTACCGCTTTTGGGGGGATGATTTTGTGCCTTTTCATGGTCCTCTCACATTCTTTTTTCGTTGGCAGGGCATATTCACTGGTACCCTTGGGACTTCTCTGGACACCTTAGGAACAAGTCGACTGGTAGCTCTATTCATCTGCCAAGAGTGACTAGGTTAGGCACCTGTTTGGTTGGTGCTGTGCCCTGATGCCTGATATGCCATCTTCACCAGTGGTATGTGAAGGTCCCAGTATTCAACATGGTTGTCACTCTCGGGACAGTGAAGACGTATACTCGTCTTATCATTGTTATGAATTTCACACATTTATCAAAACTTGTGGTGCTCATATTAACAACCCTAGTGGTATAGTGATGCTGCAGTGGTGAATAATCTTGCCAAAGACATCGGCTTTGTGGTATCCTACATGGAAAAAGCTTCAGTTCACTCTGTAAAGTAATCTGTGATGATGATGATGAAAAAGTTTCTTATCTGTATCTCTCTGATTGGGAATGGACCAGTAATAACAAATGAGACTCTTTCCTTGGAGCCTCATTGGAGGTTTTTAGGACTGAAGCTGTGCACTTGGTACAGGCCAGGTTTATGTTCTGTGCGCTGTGGCATCATGCTCACAACCTATCAGACTCTCCCAGAAAAATATAAAGTACACCCAGGAATGCTTGCTTTATAACTCTGTGGTTATGAATGCTTACCCTAGTGTTTCATACACGTACACTTTACTGTATCTTTATATGATTCTGCATACATATACACATGGGGTGCTTTCAAACTCCACCGAGGTCCCTTGATGAAATGGTAAAACTTACAAAAATTTGTCTTCTGTCTACGCCCAGGTCACAGGTGTGTTCTCTTGGTGGTCTTCTCATCATTGAGGTCATCTGAGGGCACCTACTGGTACATGGAAACTCCAATGGCTAACAACAGCAAGGCTTTCATTTCATTGCATGTTGAGAAAAGGTACCTGTGTTTGATGGTTTGCACCGGAAACAGTACCCTGTGGACACTTGCCTGACCTGCATGATCTGCATGATCTGAATATCTGCTCATTGTATGGCACCATAAGGACAGGTGAGTCTTATGTTTGAGATTCTTACCATTAGATTGTCATACATGTAGCTACTCAGACCTTGGTTTACATTTACATATAACGTGTTCCTTTTTTTGTATGGATCATTACTCTTTAATACAGCAACCCCCCCCCGCGACCACCTGTGTATAACGTCCACTTGTCTTCAAATCCCTTATGTAAAAACTATTTACATACTGTGTAGAACGACCCACTGCACAACGTGACCAGCAACCACCCCTACAGCCTGTACACAACGACCGCAAATCGAGATCCACAAAAATCAACCATTGAAAATCACTTCTGTCACAAGCGTTGTTTGATTTCTGAGACCTTCAAAAAGTCAAACAAACTACAGCACTTAAAAGGATTAGTGATTAATGCCGGGGTCACTTCCATCCGTGCTTCCAGGATTTTTCCAGTTTTAATTTTAGTCTTAATTAAGTTGCATCCAAAATAACGCTTTTGTCATTAGACCAGCCAAGTGCTTGGTCTGAGCCCCCACATGCACACACACACATCGCAAGGTTTAACCCCCTTCACGCCGGGAATTTTTCGACCGTGACTGCTGGGCTGTGGTGTGCCCAGTATGCATAGCCTTGTCCAGCAGCAGGCCCACATTGAAACCGCAGCTGCATGATGAACAGAATGTATGTGTGGTATGCGCTAATCCTCACACAAAGCCGTGGCTGTTGATGGTTCCCAGGCTGAAGGGATCAACCACACGCGATCTTGTATGAGCATTCATGCATGCATATTATGCGTGATCCGTGACCTCCGAATAGTCTCGTTCAAACAAAACGGCTCAAAAATTTTGAAATTTTAATTTGTAAAGGTAGAGTCTTGGATTTTGAAAATTATAAAGCTGTTTTAATATATTTTTACAATTTGTGGTTCATTTGAATTTTAAATTTGCCCAATTGAGTTTTAGAACGTTTCCCTTCTTTCCTTGGTATATTTATAGGGTCAATGGGGGACCCTAGGTTTGTTAGGGTTTGCGAGGAAGTACAAGTGTTCCGAATTCCACGACCCCACATTCCGCTATAGACCAACAGGAGTTGGTCTCCGGAGGATCGAGTGGCATTTTGCTAAACTTCGGATCCCTCAGCTAGTGCCTGCTGGCAATACCATCTTTGGTTCAGTTCTAAGTTAGTCCACGCTTCAAGGGCCTGAGCTGCAGTGTGTGTGATATCGGTATGCTCAGTTCCCTAACCTAACACCGAAGCATCGCAGCCAACGATAGTGCAGCGTGGCGCTGCACTCAGGTTTGAAATTTCCCCCGTTTGCTGGGTCTGGGCGTAACACTTTTGCGTCCCAGTTCCTAAGCATTCTGAACGGGTAATGCGGGTCGACAACAAGCTGCCGTGGGCAACACCCGACATCGGCATGGCTCACAAGTCTACCTACCGGAGTGGCCCCACGCTGCCAACGCTAGCTACACTGGTCGCATCACCCCTGGTGCCATTGTCTTCAGATGCCCTTTCAACCGGGAACCTTGCCATGACAAAGAAGCTGAAGCTCCATGGGACAACACAACGCTGCTCCCCGGTGCGGTACCTGCAGAGACAATACCGGGCCACGAGGGCTCACCATGACCCGCGCCCGGGACAACAGAGCCCTCCGGCCTCCTGTGCCGTTGGGGCTTTTGACCCTGTATGTCACCCCGTCTTCCAGCTACCTTCTGGGCCTTTCTGGGAAGACTGCTTCTACCTCTGCAGTTAACCAGCCCTCTCCTGCTGTATCTTTACTGCAGTCTGGGTAGGCCTCCGATGCCCCAGCTCAACAGGCATCGACCACTGGCTCTACAACCAATTCTCCCGTACGCAAGAAATGCTAACATTTTTCATCCTCTACGGGGTCTAAGTGTAAGAAGTCTCACTTCTCACAGAAGGAAGGCGCTTCGGGCGCCATCATGGCAGCAGTCCTCATGCTTTCGGAGAAGCTCTCTTCTATAGCCAGCCGTCTAGAGCCCAATCCTGCTCCCGAGCGATGGCCCCGGATCTGGACCCTTTGCCGGCGCAATGTGATCCACATCTGGATTCGCATCTGGATCCGCATCCACATCTGCATCCGCATCCACATCTGCATTGGAACCTGCATTCATTGGTGATCCGATCTTCATATGATGGTTTCATCCCTTCGACTTATCCAGGTTCTGGTGCAGAATACAGCTCACCTCCTACTCCGGCCACTGGCCACCCAACAAGACATGATGACGTTCCTCCTTCCTCGGACCAGCTCTGGATGGAATGGGGTATGTTCTCTGAAGATAAGGATATCTCCTCTGCATCAAACCTTAACCCTCCTGAGGCACGGTTCCGTCTTCTTCAGAAGGATATGATCCATATATTAGGCCTGCCTTCTAATCAATCTACGGCTGAGGCCTCTTCACATGCTTCCTTCAAACGCCAGCCCGCTAGGTTAGAGGCATCAACCCCCGACCTCCTGGGGGTGGGCATCGCCGACTTTTCAGATTTGCCTCTGCCTGCCAATCTCAGACCCGTCGGTGGGCAACGTCAACTCTGCTGGGTCTTGGGAGAAAGTCACATTGGACAGCTGGGTGCTCATGACCATTCGTTACGGATACGCCCTTGAATTCACGAGCACCCCTCCGTCTGTACCTGTCCTCCGTCTTACTTCAGTTCCTACTGACAAAAACAAACGACAGGCACTGGCGTCGGAGATAGACTCTCTCCTTTGGAAACATGCTATCTGCCCGGTTCCCAAATCTTAAGCGAACAAGGGCTTCATTTTAACATTGTTCCTCACTCCAAAGAAGGAATTCAGCAGCTGGTGACCTATTATCAACCTCAAAACTTTGAACTGCTTTATCCGCTCGAAGAAATTCTGCATGGAGACCCTTTGGACAGTCACCCAATCTCTACAGGTTCCATGCTGGGCCTCTTCCATAGGCTTGAAAGATGCTTACCTCCACATTCCGATTTGCCCAAGAAGCTATGAACACCTACGCTTCCTATACAATGGGAACCTCTTCGAATTCACAGCTCTCCCCTTTGGCCTCTCCACTTCACTGAGAGTGTTCTTGAGGGTTGCAAAGATTGTTGCTGCTCACCTTCGAAAGCAGGAAAGCAGGATGACTGGCTGATCGTCGGCAGATTGTTCAACGAAGCGGAGATTTCTACCCGTCTTACTTGCGACAACGCAATACCCAATGTATCTAGGGGCATCTATCAACCTTCAACAAGGCATAAATTCACTGACGACCGAACCCATCAACAATCTTCTTGACTGCATGAAAGTCTTTTCTACCAAGCATTCTGCTCCAGCTCGTGCCTGGCTCCGTCTCCTTGGCTTGATGGCTAAAATGGTGGATCTCATTCCACTCTGCAGGTTGTACATGTGTCTAATACAATTTCATCTCCTAGCGCTCTACAGGCCAAAATGGGGCTCAATCAATCTCCAAGTCCCCATATCAGACCTCATCCGCCCCCATCTTCAGTGGTGATTAGTGAAGGAGCACCTCTCTCTCGGAGTTCCCTTCCCCAAGATGAACCCGGAAATAACTATAACCTCGGACACTTCTCATCTAGGGTGGGGAATATTGCCTTATCACCTCATAATTATTTATAACTGTATAGCTCATTGTGACACTAAGATCTTGCTTTACATTCTTCTTTCAATCCTGCATTCTGTGGAAATTGGGATAACATGTTTTCATTGCGATGTTCATCCCTCTTTGTCATGGCCTGCCATTTGATAATGTGGCCTGAGATTAAATTTTACCAATCACTTTTAACATGTCTTGTTTGACCTTTTTTCTATGTTATCAAACATTATTGCAATTAACTTTGTCCACAACATCCAAAATAAAAAAAAAACTTACAAAAAAACAGAATTTTCAGTTTTTGTCTACACTCAGTAGATTGTACAAACAGGAAACTCTTCCGCAAGTAAATTGTACATGTTACTAGTATTTACCATCGCTGGGTGATTGTTTCAGTTAATTGATTAATCTTGATTTGTTCCTTCTACTCGTTGTACTACTCATTTGCAACTATTCAATTAATCGTGCCAGCCTGATTAGTAGCTGTGGAATTACTGTGTGTGCGAGTAGTGATTGTTATCGAGTACCAATTAGTTACACACACTACCACACTGTACACTGTGTGAGTAGTGACAAGCCACTTTACACAATCCAGGGCACACCTGTTTTATTTTGCCAGCCTGCACTGACAGGCTTGTGGTCGACTGGGCAGTTCAGTTCAATGAACATAACTCTAAAAGGAATAAGCTGTTAACCTTTAAGTCCAAAAATGTAGCAAGAGTTGCAACGGCAAGTATGCAAGGCTTCTGTGTCATGTTGAAAGGTAGTACTACTGGTAGTTCATGGGATTGTAAATTAATTCCGAACAATCTGGATGTTTCAAATTACACACAGATCCCTGTTTCTTGATGCTGGTTATTCTGTGTCTTGGAGTTTTGAACTTTGTGACTGAAAAAAGTAAATGTAGAACAGCCTTACTGCCCCAATGAAAGTGCAAACAAAGGCTAGGAATACACAAAAAAATTGGAAGATTCTCTTTTTCATAATTTTTTTTCACACTCAGCGAAGGATTTGAAATAATAATTAGCGTGGTGGGTCTGATGAGTAATGCCTGGGCCCTCATACTTCTTGTTCAATTAAACAATTTTTCTCTGTGTAAAATTCTGTTTTTCCAGTATTGTTTACCTCATTCTGCATAATTTTAATTGTTGCTCCTTTCTATCCACCATAATATGATTGAACTCAAACACTTGTCAAGAAACACATTTTACAAAAATGAGAATTTCAATTTCCCAAATGTTTCTGCACCGGCAGACCTCAAAAGTTCAGACCCAATGCCCTTTGATTATCCACAGTCCTGCTGTAGCATAGTCCCTATTGGACAGGTGCCGAAACCCAACCACGTGGCTGCACAATGCAGCCCCAATCTTAAAAAGTGTGTCAGATGCCTGCCCAGTTTAGCCAGTGCCAAAGTGACTGTGGCTGCAATCATTGGCTTATATTCGTCAGTCAGTTCGGGATGAATTATTCATATAGCCTTACATGCGCAAACAATGAATGAAGGCTGAACAACAATGTCTGTGGGCTATATCATTGAGAAGTTTAGGGAGGTAATTTAGAAGTTCTTAGTTCATGTGTGATTAATCGATTAGCCAAATTCACTACTCAGCCAGCACTAGACTATTCTGAGAAGTAACATAATTTTATGTCAGAAATGCATCCGTTTAGGTTTCCAGGCACAGCTCCATATTTATGGGAATTTTATCATTTGAAAATACTTAGAAGCAACCAACAAACCAAACATTACCTGCAGTTTTTAACATTAAATAAAACTCGGGTACCTTGTGGTGGGGAACTAAAGTTTTTTTTTAAGATTTGAAATTCTTTTCCCTGCTTTATAATGGAATGGGACCACAAACACACTTGTGTGAAAAAAGGCCACATCAACCCAAAAGCTATTACACAGTGTAGAAAGATTTTGACTGTCATTGAAAATGCAAAATACATTTACTTCTCGACTGCAAAGCTTACTATTTTCCCTATTTTTAAACCAATGGAGTCATGGTCTTGTAAATGCTATTATATGAAGCAAGTTTTGTTGACTTTGGTGCATTGAGCCCATATTTACATCCCCAATAAAAGACTGTCCATTTCTTTTGTTTCTCTGTGTAGGCCCGTCAAGTCAGATCAGTTGCTGCTCTCTGTTGCGGCCTGAACATGAGTTTCTTGTCAAAGGCAAAATCTTGGATGGGAACACAAGTACATGTACTGGTAAGTCAACTTCATGTATTTATCCAAAATATCCAGCAATTGGTTGCTGTGGAATTCTTTTAATTCAAGACAAACAGGTTAAAATAACTCCAGGAGAATTACTGGGTGATTCCAGCATCTTTAAGCCTTAAAATCAGTGTAATGTACAGTACTGTGTATACGTACATGTACACCGTACATAAAATTATGTCACCCTTGTCGTGAAAGTATAATTCATAACTTGACTCATGATGCAGAGGTAATACCTCTAACCCCTTCAATTTGCAAAGCTGACCAGTTGGGGCCTGTCAGTTGTGGAAGACATTGGAGTTGCGTCTGAGTTGGTAAGTCAGTGGTTGACTTGCAGCGCCCGCTGTGGCTGACTAGGCCAACCCTCCAGCGGTAGGCTCAGTTGCACGTGCTGCAGATGAAGCCTGTGCCTGGATCCATAGGGGCTGAACCAGCTTGCTGGCACCTGTGTCTCCTTTTCGCCTCCCTCCTAGCCTGTCACTGTTGCTCACCAGCCATTGACTTGATTGGTGGCAAGGGCTTCCCAGTCTTGTGGTTTGATGTTGCTGGCCCAGAGGTCTTGCTTGCAGACGTCTTTATAGTGGAGCACTGGTCTACCAGCAGGTCCAGAAGTTCCCTGTACAATAATGTACATCCTTTGGAATGTGGCCATCCACCATGTGGCTGACATGGCAAAGCCAATGAAGGTGACTCTGCAACAGCAGTGCAAACATGGTTGGTGTGCCTACGACCTTCAGGACCTTGCTGTTTGGCTGAGTAGGGTGAAGGTGTTGAGTCTGTGCTCTTGAAGGGGAGTATAAAGTCCATCCCCTGCTACTGTAAAGACGGGTGCAAAGGACACAGGCCTGGTACACCTGCACTTTCATGTTGGTGGTGAGCATGGAGTTGTCCCCACCTCAGCAAGGCGGGCAGTGGCTGCTGATACTTTGCCTATGTGGGAGTTCAGCTCAGAGCCCAGAGAGAGGTTGGTTTGAGATAATTGAACCTAATTGGTAGATAAAATCTTCCATGACCCTTTGTGTGTAGTCACCAGTGGAGAAGTTGGGAGTGGAATTGACATCTTGCCCCATAGTGTTGGTCTTAAGACTGAACTCCTTGCAAGTGTGCGTGACATACATGAAGTTTATAAATCATTGTAGACGCTCCTGTGTGTGTGCTATTCAGTGCTGCATTGTCTGCAAAGAGCAGTTTCCGGAGAAGCACTGTTTGCATTTGGTATTTGCCCTCAGGTGGGCGAGGTTGAAGAGGCCAGTGTCACTTCTCATGTTGAGATAGATTCCATTCTCTGACTGGGTTAAGGAAATGAGTCAGAGGTTGAGCAGCCATACTGTATGGTGCCTTTCGTATTCTCATGGAAAGACAAAATCGGGCTAAGAAGTTTAGGAAGGCCAGGATGGTGGAGAGACCTTTCCTGCTGACAAAATCAAAAGCCATGGTCAGGTTGATGAAGGAGATGTAGAGTGCTGCCTTTGTTCTCGACACTTCGGCAACTGCCTCAGAGAAGGTCATGTCAGTGGTGGATCTCTTTGCTCTGAATCCACACTGGGCCTCTGGATAGACTTGCTCCACCAGACGTAGTCTGCCCAAGACGGTCTTGCTCACGATACTGAGGAGAGAAACATGTATACCCTGGTATTTATTGCAATTGGTCTTGAAACGCTTGTTTTTTAAAGAGTGATGAAATTGGTACCCCATACGACCTGACATAGAGCTCCTTCTTCTTAGCACTGAAACAGAAAGTCATTGAGGTGGTTGAAAAGGGCACTCTGTTTACTGGCCAGCTTGATGACTTCTGGAGGGGTTGGTGTTCTAGATGGCATCTTGCGTAATGGTGTTCTTCCTTGAATACCGCTTTTGATAATGCTCAACCCATCTCTCCACTGCATTTACTGAGGACGCAGCTCAATGATGACCTGCAGGTGATGATGAGATCCAGTTAATGCCAGTGGCAAGGTGTAGGATTCTGCCAGGATACACTGTGGATGGGCTTTATAGAGAAAAGGGTGTTGGTAATGCAGAAGTTGTGATAGACACAGTTGATTGTCCTAACATTCCAGCTTGCCAGTCGCAAGATTGGCGATTTCCTTCGTGTGGTGTGGTGATTGCAATCTGCTCTTTGGGTTTGGCCTGAGCTCCAAGCACCCACTGGAGCAGGCAGATTGTGGTGGGTCAGCATCTTACTGGCTTGGGGTTGCCCAGCTTGTGGCGGACAGAAGCTGACCAGTGGAATTGCATGTACATGTACAATGCTTCCCCCACCATTGCTAAAAACGCATAGCTTCAGAGCTTATGCCAATTCACTCTCGACTTGTAACTGCTGCCTTCTCTGGTGTGTTGTCACTGGAACAGCGACCTTTGAGTGACCTCTCCAGGGCACAAACCTGGGCAGTGTATAAGGAGGTCCTGAGTTGCCCAAGCATCAACACCCCTCTCAGCCTTGCTAGTGGGATCCAAAGGGATGTGAGCACCATGTTGGCTACAGTTGTTAATGGGTAGTCGAGCTCACCAGCTATCTGCCTTGAAGGGGCTTCCTTCATTGCTTTTCTGTCAGGGTTACTCCCTTTGACGGACTGCTGGCCAAGGGCTCACTCTGCCCTGCTGTTTACCCATAGCTGGGGGTTTTGATGTCTGTTGAGTGACAATTGATTGACTGGTCGACATGACACCAGGGTGTGTCCATGAGCATTATATCTCTGGGACCCACTGCTGCTTTAAGATCCTGTGTAGTTCAGCCACGTGAAAATAAAAGTATGATGATATGAGGAAAAATGTCATGGACGATTCTGACTCACTGCCTGCCTCTCTTAGGGTTCAGCTGCTGTCATGTTGTGAATGACATGTTTTTGCACTACGTGGGTGAATTTGTTTTTAAATGTACATGTACATAGGACTGTACGTGTGTACTTGTACATTGCATGTATAAATACATGTACAGTGTATGCACAGGGCTTCTAATTTGTCGAACAATTTGATCTCTTGGAGCAGATAATTAATTACTACAGTTCATAGCACTTTGTATTAGAGATCTGTTGAGGTTTTAGTCTCTTGCTTTATTTTTATACTCAAATTACAATGAAGGGGCGCTTCCGTGTACTCCGAATCAAGATCTTCACATACCTACTCTTCATTGCTCAACTTCTTGTACTTAGACAATTTATTTTCCTACAGGTGTTATTATTTGTAGCAGCCATGTAAATCAACAATGTACATGTACTCCTTAAACTTTCAGGGTGGAAATCAAGAAACTGTTTCTACAAACCCTGTCGGATACTGCCAAGGTGCTCAGAGCTGGATCGCATGTCCAAAGGAATTAAGATGAAAGTGGACTGCATCATTCCAACGTTTACTCATGATATGGAAAGGTATGACCTCTACACTGTGTTCCCAATGGATCAGTTAACTTAAGGCCTGTGAGGTGAGCTGAGTTGAAAGAGAATGCTTGTTGCTTTTTCCATTGCTGCATTTCCATCAGATCATGTATATGGACCTGTAATATACATGTAACTGGTTTCTGTTATATTGCATAACATTCAATTTTATGCACTGTCTAAAGGGTATAAATCAATCACAATCTGGAGAATTGTTTAAGAAAGCTATTCAAGGTTATTTTACCTGAGTAACTGTTGAAGTAATTGTAAACTTGTCAAAATATTGTAAAGTATTCTGTCTAAATCTACCTTTGAAGCTGAGTTGAAGAGAAAGGAAGGTTGCTGCACCCAACACTGTTTTAAGGGGAGCATATTACGTACATGTACAGTTGAACGCCGCTATAACGAACACGACGGGGTCCACGCTAGATGTTTGGTACAGTGGTCGTTCAGTATAGCAAATTTAACTGCAGAACCTTTCATTGCCATGTTGAATAGCGCCCTCTCTTGTCTAACTGAAGTGCACCCTCTTGTGATACTATGGTTTGCTGTTTTCGCGATGTTTTGCTGTTGCATTCAAATTTAAGGTTTCTAGAAATGTATCTGTCAATTATTTTTGTTTTTTATTTAATCTTGAGTCAAAAAATTGATATCAAGTTTATCATAAAAGTCATGAAGCTATCGTGCAGGATCAATCTCTGATGCATGCTGTGGCGAATCTCGGTTGATTTGTGCATGAGCGGCGTCCTCTTTAGACTATTGTTAGTGCAGTGCCACCGTGCGCGTATGTGCGGTTTTCTTCCGCACCCGATCATGCGGAGTTGCAAAACCAGTGTCCATTCAATACCTTGACAACTAGTGGCTTTCCCTTTTAATCCTCTGGGAAATAATGGCCACTTGTCACTTTCCAATATAAAAACACTGACTGTTTTATCATGTTGACTTTCGGAAATTACAAACGGCAACTGAATAGCGGTTGGTAGGTTCTGTGCATAAATTATTGGGAGCCAAGGACGATGTTCGGTACATCCAAATGTTCGGTATAGTGGTGTTGGGTATAGCAGCATTCCACTGTACATCGAGACTTGGAACACATTTGGATGGGCACACCATGTCTTGGAATATGAACATTTCATTGGTTTCTTATATTGCATATTGCACTTCCTTACAATAAAATTCATGAGTTAAGGAGATCTGTGTGCAGTAATTGTAAAACTTGTAAAAAGCTTCTTACGCATGTTGCCTACACTTTTACCCTTCCTGTTAATCTCCTAAAAATTCGATTGAACAATATTTCATTATTAATTGTAGAATCCAATTTGAATTTTGCACCACTTTATTGTATAGGTTTTCCCGGCCAAATTCATCATCTTTGCATATGAATTGAGAACAGTTTCATTCAAATTAGCACGAAATTGATGATCTAGATCACAATTCAAGGAGCAAAACTGATCATTCAGTTTCATTCTAAGAGCATGCGATTGCACAGTCTTGTTCAAAAAGTGGAAGCCTGGCATTCAATTTGGAAAAATGTGCAAAAAGCATTCAAATTTGTGTGGACACTCCTGCAGTATGTGTTTTGGCTTTCAATTTCCTGAATCGGCAAGCATTTGTGAGATTCGTGTAATGTTATTCTTTTTTCTTTGTAACTAATTTCTGCAAAACATTGAATGAAAGGGAACGGTCGGTTCACAGGTAGAGATCTCGATATAAATGTGATGTAAAATTCTTTATATCACTCAAATGGACAAATAGGGGGAAATTCCTAAAAGGATGACTATAAATTAATATATAAAGGCAAAAATGTTGCTTAAAACTGACCGAAAAAGAGAAAGTAAGCCATTTTTTCGGAGAATCAAAAAAATCTTGGTATACATGCACATTTATGGAAAGTGTGTATACTCCTCTTACCTTAAAGTTTTGCAGTTTGTACGGCTCAAAATGCAAACATGATTGCCCATAGACGACCTGAAAGAAAAGTTCGGGAGGAATTTTCCATTCCAGTCATCCAGCACGAAATCGGATGACGGCTGTGCACTTTTCAATTGAATGAAATTTGTTTTAAAATGAATTTGGTACAGTACACTAATCGACGTCTGTAAACGAATTCGAAGACATATGCTGTATGAAAAAGAAACTTGGGAGTAACCAGCTCAATAAATTCGTTGGAATATGAATGAACAATAACAAATTTGACTAGGAAGATGACGAATTTGGCCGGGAAAACTTATATTTATATTGTATTTTGAAAAAAAAGTACTGTCATCCTTGAATCTTTCTGCCTTCTACATCATGCCTTATGATTGATATGACAAGTGTGCTAAACTGACACAATTCTGCTCAAGGTTCCAGCTGCACAATATCAACTACAGTAGATGTATATGAGATGAAATTGCCACAAAGAATGAATTATGGTGTTGATGCAAGCAAAATGAAATGCACACATGTAGTGCTTGCAACTTTGAAATCAGATTCCACAATTCAACCCAGCAAAATTTGGAGGAATTGAAATGGGACTTTCCATGCAGTTGGGGCATGTTTTTATAAGAGCTCTTCAGAATTTATTCATACATGTATTTTATTTTGTAACTCGTGGTTTAAAATACTTTAGACGGTCTTTAAAAGTTATTCACATCACCTTTAAGACTTTCTGGTTGCAGGTTACAGGTTTAAGACAACACCACTTCATTCAATTATGGTAATAATCAAATCAATGTTCAAACATTTTTGCAACAGTTTTCCCAAACGGATATCCAGGAATACAGCACATGACAACTTCTAACGAGCCCCGGAGATTTTAACATGGATTTTTAGTTGTATTCCACAAAATCCATATAAAGTTTTGAGCATATTCCATTGACAAATTTCTTGGAATAGCTCGGAGACTTACGATAAGTTTCATAAGCACCGGTTTAGTGTAGCTGTGTTCTCGGCTATTTGTTTGGGGTTAAAATGGGTGCTACAAAATATAAATGTTTTTGCAAAACAGATTCTCCAACAAATTTCATCTACGGTTTTTATGAAATAAGTCAAAAACTAAGAATGCTCTAAAAGGTTCTTTTAAAGAGTTACACCAACATCGTGCATTATAATTCAGTTACCACAAGGAGCAATGTGATCCCTGTGTACCAATGTCAAAAGTTCGAAAACATTATTTAATTAGTAATGCCCTTTAGAATTGTTCTTTATAGATGTACTGTAGATTGTAATTCTTCTGGTTTACATAATTATTGTAGAAAACTAAGTTATTCAGCACAGAGTACCTTTAAGAAAATCAGATTGCAAGGGTAATAAGGGCACAACACTATTTCCATCAATAATGGTAACAGTTTCCACTAGTACACCTCCCCAAGTAGAATATTACCCATGAAATGTTACTTGCATTCTTCGTCAAGGTTGTAATAAACTTCTGTTGAATTTGCTGGATAAACGTGATGCCTCTTATGTGTTTATCTGTTTAGGATGATAGGATATATATATATAAGAAATCTTCTTTCCCCTGGGT